GCTGCTGGCGGAAAGCAGCAAACCCCAAGGGCGGGAACCTCCACATGAGTCGGTCTCAAAATGGGGCGCGCCAGACTTGGGGTGGGGTCCCTGTAGCTTCTCCGAACCCCGGAAGGCAGAAATCCTCTTGAAACATCCCAGTCACCCAAACGTTCGTATGTACCCAAGCGGAAATATATGGACCAGGATGGCAACCTCATGGCCACGCCACATGAACCCCAATCGCCGGAATTGTGCGTCATGGGACACGTCCTCATCAGCAAGAGGATAAAACCATCCACAGCCTTCTTCACATAGGTGGCCTTTTAGGGGAAATAGATGGGTTTCCCTGGTGGATGACTAAACCACCAGGTAAACCAGGAATCGCCAACCATTTTTTTCTAGCAAAACCACCAAAAAGGGCCACCTATGTGGCACCGGATGGCGAGTTGCCATGCCTATCACTGAGCTGGGCTTCACGGAAAGCGGTCCCTAAAACACGCACTTAGCACTTGGAATTGTGATCATGGGGCCCTGCGGCGTTCTCCCGGCTCCAAAAACTGGACATGTGTTTTGTAATAAAAGGGTAAACAACCAAGAAAGAAGGGGTAAACAAATGGCAAGTAAATGGTAAATACATGGTAAGTAAATGGTAAATCATGGAAAGCAAAAATTGTAAATACCTGGCAAGCAAAAATGGTAAACATAATGTGTTGCAAAAATGGTGAGCAAAAACAAAAAACATAAAGTGTTGGAAAAAATGGAAACAAACAAAAACAAGAACAGAGAGGATGGTGTTCTTGGATCAGGATTCTGAGGCCGCCAAAACGCTTGTGTCACATGAATTCCTCACTTCTGAGTTGAGACAACAAAAAAGGCTTCTGTTGACTGGACATGAGAAACCTTAAGGGGCCTATCCGAAACCTATGGTCAAGAATCAAGAGGGCTGCTTGCCGTCGTCTATGGCAACGGCGTCTGTCAATCTTTGGACCCAGACTCCGTGTGGGGTGTCAAATTGCCAAAGGGAAACCAGCAAGAGGCGTCCTTCTTTTTCTACACACCCATTGTACCCGGGACTATTCTTCACTCGTCGGTAGCTTCCCATGCTTTTTCAGGGACTCCGAACTGTTTCCCAAAAGCAAGGAAATCCCGTCACTGGGGCAAGTTGTTCGCACGGCGCCGACAAAAAAAAACAACCTGGCCGAAGTTCCAAGTGCTAAGCACCAGCCAGAGATTCAGGTTCATTCCGAGCTTTGAAGTCCCAGAGACCCAGCCAGCTCAGCAAATCGGCGAAAAAAAAGGAGAAACAAAAATGAGAAAAGAAAAAAAGAGGAAGAAAAAAACAAACAAACAAATGAGTGTGGGTTGTTTTTGAGGGTACCCCATGTTGGCTGGCTGGTTGGTTGTACATTATTGCCGGAACCCCGAAGCCATGTCTGGGGTCCAACTCCCTACACGACGAGCCACCCTCCTTTTGCTGAGCTTGGCACAGCGAGAAGAAGACGAAGGAGGCGAAGAACAACAAAAGGGAAGGGTGCAGCTCCAGCAAAGGCTCTACGCAGTCGATCCACCCGTCCATGGTCATGATCTTGAAGAGCCTGAAAAACAACATAAGGCTGGCTCATCTTTCTTTTGGGATTTGGACCCCCAAAAATGGTAGGCGTCTTTTCTGATTTCCCTTTGAAACTACTGAAACAGGGGTAGACACACCCATAAAATATCTTCTTTACCAGCTACTGCAATATGTGATCTTGGCATAAAAGTCTTTGTCGGAGCCCTAACCCAGGCCCTATTTAGTCTTGTAGTTTTGCTCATTTCTGTGTGTGTGTGTGCTTTTTTCCCCACCCCGCGTAGGGGGTGTGCTGTTCACTTTGATTTGTTAGGTCCGCCGTGGCTCATAGCCCAAAATCCACATCTTGCCCTGGCGAACTGTGCGACAAAGGAGCTCCAAAAGAGCTCCATGTGACTTTGACCACCGAACTCCATTCTGCCCCTCCCGGCAACTCCTTCCATTCTGCCAACCAGGGAATCATCTATGCTCCAGCGCGATTTTGGGTGTCAAGCAGCGTCCACATGGTGGTAGGCATGTCGCTGTAATTCGCTGCCACTGACTCCTGCTTGAGCGAAAAATAACGAAGGGAGGCGGCAAAAGAACATCCCCTGTCATGAATTGGTTATAGTTTCAAGTGGTTGCACCCGACATCAACAGTAATTAGGGGTTCCCTGCATTCCTTTCAAGACTGCCCCCTTCCTACAAACTCAAAATCCCAGAAAACACCGATTCCTGAAACGTTCTTGGGTCATGCGAATTTGCGGGGGAGTAATCTTAGTCCTGGATTGATAAACCGCCGGTTGCCTTGATAAGCGGGGAGTCCCCTTGCTTTTTGGTTGGGATTCATCACTTTTGGGGGGGAACACCCCCTGATGCATTGATCGCGTCTTCAAACTCCACTCGAGTCGATTCTATCAATTCGGAAACGGGACCCAAAAAGGTGGCCCCTTTTAAGGAGATACATCCAAATTCATGAATTGGTTCGGTTTCTAAATGAAAAGCGCGCCCCTCAGGCCTAGCCCTTTTCCAGCAAGAGAAGGATCCAACCAAAGAAAAGGCCGCGGCTGTCCCACTTGTCAGCTGAGTGTTTCTGCGGAAGCTTCAACGAAAAAATCGCGTCTAGAAGAGAAATCCATGTCCACTCGGCAAACCGGACCTTTGTCTGAGGTCGTCTACCGAAATGTCGAAAAGGAAACAGGACTCAAAACGCTTTGAGGTGCAAGCCCTGTTGAATCATTGACTCCCCTTTGGGCGCTTTTAAACCTCATCTTGTTGGCTAACTTCACGTGAGTGTCCTTGTGGATGCTTAGGGGAAATCTGGGAGGCCCCCCAGTTCCCATCCTCTGGAAAGTCCCAGAGCATGTTCGTGGCCACAACGCTGGCCAGCGCCAGCGATCCCATGATCACGATAGAGAAGTTCAACATCTGCCTCACTGGATGGCAGCCTCGTCTTCATTTGACCCCCCAAAATGCCAGTCTTCCTTCCCGGGTTTCAAGTTAAAACCACCAAAACCTTGTCCCCACCAACAAAATGACACACCCGAATGATTGCCGAAAGCTTCCCTGTGACCAAAAGGATCCCGGAGTTCTTCGTAGCTTTGGCACAGGTCCCAAGGGGCAAAATCTGAAAGGAAGCCCCAAGACCATTCTCCCCAAAAAAACAGAAGGAGACTGTTGGGGGGGGTTGGAAGCTGGAACATCCACGTCGGAAGTCGCCTGACCGACCCCCTGGCATGAAATGTCCACCCCCTAGTCATTACCCCTTCAAGAACACCTCGGTCGCTTCGAATTCTGGGCTGTCCGTGCTCAGATCCCCTGCTCAAACCCAACCACTACACCAACTAGAAACAACTAAAGGACGATTCGCTGGGAACCGCCAAGAATTCGCCAGTCCAAAATCAAAACGAGACATATCCGTGAAAAGCTGACACCGACGCCACGGCACCAGAGGGCGGTATGGGTCACCCGTCCGAAGTCGTCCAGGAACCTTGGTGATGTGCAAAAAGTCGCAGATTGTTTGTTCAGTTGGAAAGCACAGAGATTTGGGTTTTCTCTGTGTTGTTGGTTGGTGGGAAAAGCGCATTACTTCTAATGACATCTAAGTTCAGTGCACACATCCGATAAAATCGGACAGATCCTATCCAAGCCCCCAATGGTTGGCTTTGGAACCCAAATTACAGGAAGATCCATCCCAAGGAGTATGTGTTAAAATAGGCAACCCCCAAAGCAGGCAGTTGCTCCTTTGGCGTCCCTTGGAACTACCCTCAGGCAGCGGTCCCCCTTTTTAAGGCAACCACGTCACAACCGAATAGCCCACCTTCACCTAAAATTCAATTGTCCACCCCAGCAGCCAAGCAGCGAGGGCAAGAAAAAGCCGGCCACCTTTGCCACTTGTGAAGGTGGTCCCACCAATTCATATAGCCCTGGCTTTTCTCAGAACGGACCCATTTTGCTTGGCAGAAGAAAGGGAACCAGAAGGAAACCAAAAGCTTTTTAGGGCCCCTGCGTTTGAGAGCCCATGCAAAAAACAAAACAACGTCGACCAGGGACCCCCTAATATTGACACCCCACCCCCCCACCACCCCCCGCCCCACCCTATGTGAAGTGATTGTCCGTTTGGGTATGTGCCTTTTTGAAGGCTACCCTTGGATCTGTTCCCTTGGGTTGGGAGAGTTCTCTTTTGAGACACGCCTGCCCAACCCTTGGAAGGATAGCAAAATGTGTGGTTCTTTGCAGCCCACTAAGACTTATCGGAACCAAAAATCCGAAGGGCGCCTAGCAACATGCCAACAACAGTGAAGGCCCCCCCAAAATCTGTGTCTTTGTTGTTGTTTTTTTGGTTTTCTCGCAAAACCCCACCAAAAAGGGATCCGCCCCCCAAAACAAACAAGGCAGAAACCCATTTTGAGACACAGCCCAAAAAATGCGGAGAAGACAAAAAACATGCAAAAAAGAAATGCGAACAAAAGAGTGTGAAAAGGAGGAAAAATGAACAATAAAAGAAGAAGAAGAAGAAGAAAAAGAAGAATAAAAATACGAAGAATAAACATGAAATTGTTTTACCCCCAAAAAAAAAACTTGGGAAAAAAAAACTTGGAGAAAAAGAACTATTGCGAGGTCCATCCAGGGAGCTTGGAGGACCCGAAGAGCCGCACCAGGCGCATGACCCGCATCACCCGCACCGCCCCCAGGCCGTGCACGAAGCGCCCCTCCCAGGAGGTCACGAAGATGTCCTGCGGACGAAGCGGACGGGGACGGGGAGGGGGAGGGGGGAGGTTCAAAGCCAGGTTCAAACCAATGGGGGCTATCCTAGCGCAAAGGAGGGGAAGGGAAGGGGAAGGGAAGGGGAGAGGGAGAGGGAGAGGGAAGCGGTAAGGATGAAGGGAAGGGGGGGGGAATCGAATCAAAAGGGCTTGTTCAATGTTTTGTCAAGTGAAGGGAGGAAAACATTCTATGTTGTTTTTGTTGGGCGGCTACATGATGGTTGTAAACACTGTGGTCCGACTTGGGGTCGGCTGCGGGTAGAAACTCTGCTGGGTGGTTGCGATCCTTGTGAAACGCCCAGGCAAGGAACGCCGGCAAAAAGAAGGTCGGGGAGGTAGTTTTGCTATCCCCACTGCCCGAATTTTGACGTTGAGGGAATCAAGATTTCAAGAGCTCATGGGGCAACTTGCCTTCGTCAAAATGCCATGGGTTCCTTGTCTTTGTGGTTCCTTGTGGCGTGAAGCCTTGATCCTCTGACCCATGTTTTGAACCGGACAATGCCGGTTCGCGCATGGCCGGCTTCTGTGGAAGGGCTGGGACTCTCACTCAACCCTGAAACTTCTATCCAGTGCATGTGCTCCAAAAGGGTCTCTTAAAGGATACATTGGGAGCAGTCATCCACGGTCTTGCTTAGATTCAAGGGTCATTGCCCCGAATGAAAACAAGGGAAAAAGGATACATTGGGCCGAGCTGCGAAAATCAACCTTTACCTGCTGAATAATTCAGAAGAATCCGTTTGTGAAGCAAGGCTGCACGCTCTATGCAGAAAACTCTGTCCAAAGGGCCCTCTAAGTCACTGGGATCGGTTCCGTCCAATGTCATGTCTGCCCATGTTCGGCTTTAGCCGGGAAAATGAATGAACACCGGTTCTTACCATGCTTAGTGTGTGTTCCATGCCCTATCATAAACAAGAATCCCGGAAAAAAAACGACTTCATCATGTAAAGCCTTGAAATCGTTTGTTTCAACCACCTCTGTTTCGAGCTCCGGTTTACCTTTTCCGAGTCAAGCGTTGGCATCTACCCCGTGGCCCCAAGCCCAAGCCCCAACCAACCCGAAGGCGGCAGCGGGGTCCAGGAGGCTGGTCACGTTCATCACCAGGTCGAACAAGTTCCAAGCTGCGCGACGGTCTGTGAAGAAGAAGCTGAAGAGACCTGAGGCTCCGAACCAAAACATCCAGCGCAGCTTCGCAAAATATGTATATATATATACATATGTATATATATAATGAGTTTTGAAAAGTGGTGGACATCATAAAGCCATATACTGTGGGGGTGAAGTTACGGTATGGCAGATCCATCGCACACTTTTGGAAGGGGAAATCACCAACTGACCAGCTTCGTCCAACCAGCTACGCCCCAAAGGCTCGGAGCTCTCTCTTTTTCCGACTAAGATCATTGCGAGGAACACCCGCGAAAGACGAACCACCCGAGCTCAGATGAGTGGATTTCCATGGAAAAACTCGGGCATCCTTTCTTTGGTTGACTTCAAAGGGGAAGGGCACCACTGGGCGACTGAGGGGATGCTGAAAACTGCGAGGGAACCCAACCAAGCAGACCCAACGACCCGACGGCATCTTGCATGTAGCTTTGCCACGCTGCTGGGAGGTGGGCCTGTGCTTTGGGCGAAGTAGTTGTAGACCACGTGGATCTGCTGCGCCACGAACCTGGGTTCGTGCTGGTCCGTAGGGGAACCAGGTGTTCCAACAAAAAACACACGAAACGTGAAGACCCAGCAAACCAACAGCTCTTCGATGCGAACAACAAGCCCAACAGAGCATGACAAGCTCAAAAGACCGACCAAGAGGCACAGAGACCAACCACAACAAGGAAAGTATTTGAAAAGTGGTGCGGCATGGTTAGCCGGACTTTTTCTGGTCTCCGTGGGACGATTTGAAGCACCCCAACTAAAAGGAAAGAGTGCCAACCTAGAGGCACACAGACCAACCGAGAAAACATAAAGACGTGGAAGAATGGCGGGAAAAAACCATTCAAGTCGTTGAAGAACGGTTTGAAAATGTCACAAAAAGAGAAGTGGGTGTGAAACATGGTGGGAAAATTGCGCATTAATCTTTAAAAAGAAAATGGTGCCAAGAGGCATGGCGGCAAACAGCCCCTGCGCGAAGTCCGAGAACTCGCGGATCCAGTCGTGGGAGATGTAGCAGGCTTCCAGCAGCGTGATCCCCACGCTCAGCACGATCACCTCACCGGATGTGTTGTTTCTCTTTTGTTTTTTTATGGAACCCTTTGTGCGTGGTTGGCTTTGAGCGGAAAAACCCATGAGAAAGAGCCAACTTGTTTGCCATATTGTTCTTGTTGCTATTGTCCTTGTAGATTCCGTTGCATATTTGAGCAAGCTCAATAAACAAACTACTCCCCTGACACGACACCCATGTGTTGAGCGCTGAAGTCAGATTCTGGATGGACAAGATCCACTTCAAGCAGTTCCTCAACTACCTCAAAAACGGTACCCCCCCCCCCCCAAACAAAACAAGAAACGGAAGAAAAATGGGCTTGACCCCCCCAAAGAGAAGGGCTGGTTCTCAACTCCCAACTTCGAACCGCTCGAAGGCCGAAAAAACCCGAAGGCCGAAGGCGCCACCGCGCTGACCTGGTCCACGGGCTGCAGCTCCTCCACCTTGCGGCGGCAGCGGTGCCGCAGCCGCTCCCGCTCGCTGCGGAGCCGGTGGCTTTGGCCCATCTCCATGGCGAAAGAGCAGGGCTTCGATCGGCGAGTGAGTGGAGTCGGAAGCGGAAAAAATCTTCAGTGGGACCCGTTTGCAGAAGGCCCAGGTGGCTTATCTCCATGGCGAGAAGGGAGTCCAGCGGAAGGCGAGTGGAGGAAAGCAAAAAAAACAACGTTGGACCCATCTGCGGGTGAAAGGCATTTCTCAGCTCGATTTCTCTGACCCATCTTCTGTTAGGTGATAATCCCTGCGGGAGAAAAACTAAAACCGAGGGGAACAAATTGGGAAGGCCTCGGAAGGATGCTTCGCTTTGAGGAAATTCTTAGGGGCGGACCCATCTTCCAGGGCTTGGGTGATGGTTTTTGTGGAAAAATATGAAGAACTTGCCTCCTAGCAGGATTTGCAGGCTTTGGAAAGGCTTGCTTGGGAGTACATGGGAAACTGACCCGGAGCTGTCCAAGCAAGAGCTTATCTGGAAATAGCCCCAAGTGGAATACAAGCTCGCCCCAGGTCCTGCTTCCCGGGGTAAAGAGATCAGGGGCTTCGGGTATTTGATATGACCCTTGTGGTTAAGTCCCAAAAAAATCGCAAGCGAAGCAAACCAAAACCATGACAAATTGCTGGATGCGCGGAAGTTGCGCTTGCTGCCCTGCAATTTTGCTGCTGTCGAGCAAGCATCTATCCAATGAAGCAGGAAATGGCTTGTAACATGATCCTGTTTGAAAGATAAGGTGTGCTGCTCACAATGTTGTCCATGTCGTCCTTCCCAGTCATTTCCTAGTCTTTTCGAAACCTGCTCCGTTGTTCTTCGTGCTCCTCGGTCCACGTGCAATTGAGCAACGCGCAGCATTCATTGTGTCCCCAAGTGACATGCGAATTCGGTGAAGCCATGTTCTGATGGTTGGCTTGGGTGCTTCCAGTGTCATCCCTTCCAAAGCGACAAACAGAAGGGCTCGTTCTTTGCCCAATGCTTCTGGTCTGGGCAGAATGATTCGTCTCCTCGTTCCCAAGAGTCCGAGGCTCCTTCACCGTTAGAGATGCACATTGTCGCTGCCCAAAGGATCTGGTCAAGCCTTTTCTTTTGGGAAAGGGGGGGGGGGGGACGGCATGTTCGCCCAATTCGGCCGTTTGGTTGGGCTGTATTTAGGCACCAGGCACTCATTACACACTCCTAGGTGCCATGCGCGGGCCTTTGCCCTGGTGAGATCTAGAAGACTCTGCAAACTCATTCCAGGGCCAATCCGGCGAAGCATCCCAAGGGCGGAAGAGGACTTGTCCTACCTGTCACAACCCCATAGCGAGTCTCCAGACTTTTGATCCGCCAAGGGCCCATCTCAAAACTCACACCGTTGGTAGATGGACCCTTTAATGTTAACCCCGGATTAATAAACCCCTGGTTGATTAATAGGGGGGGGGTGTGCCCATTTAGTGGGGATTCATCACTGTTGGAGGGAAAACCCCCCCCCCCAATGATTAATTGTAAAACTAGTTCATTCATCCTGGGTCAACCTGAAAAAGTGTCGCTTTTTGTGGGAAGGTAAAGGAGAAATATCAACAAAAAAGGCTCGGACTTCCGCCATCCCGTTTCTTTCGCCCCTTTCGTGCACGAGCGCCCGCGCCAGCGGCTGAAAGCTCTCCATCTCGCCGCCTGGCAGGGGGGCTGGCGGTGGATGGAGGCCTTCCGTCGGATACCGCCCAGCTGGGCAACTCGCCGAAAAAGAAAACCGCCGAGAAAGACGTCTTGGTATGGGGTACTCAACCCCACAGGCCCCAAGAAAAAGTGGATAAGAGTGCCTTCAGTTGAGTGGAGTTTGACTTGGGGGGTCAACACCAATGGTACCGTTTTGGGGTAGGTGCACCACCCATTTCAGTCTTTGGGATGTTCACTGGGAGTACGGGGTTTTGACCCATAGCCACTTCTAGGTATGGGTTAAAAAACCCACAAGCCCCCAGTTCAGCGGAGAGAAAGTCCCAGTTGAGCGAAGTTCATCCTGGGTTTGACGAACGTGGCCCAACACCCAGGTAATACGGGCCTTTGTTTGGGGCAACACCTCGAAATGTGAGCCCTGTGGAAATCCCCCCAAAATGCGACCTTAGCCCAACGTGTTCGACAAACCGAAGGGAAAAGAACATAGAGACTTCCTCGCTTTCAGGCAAGTCGATAAAGCTTTCAAAAACTGGAAACCTCTCATTCAGATAAGTCGACAAAGCTTTCAAAAGCTGGAAAGTGCTTGCTGGGAGGTTCCAGAAGTTGCCTTAACCTGGTCCTTCAAACCAGAAAATGTCCAATGACCTCGAACTCTGAGACGCCCTTCCCACACGATGGTGAACAAACCCAGGTGTTTGAAGGCGCAGAGATGAGAATGCAAACCAAGAAACGGCAAGTGCCAGAGGATTGCGGCCTCCAGGCATCACAACAAGCTTCTTGCCAAAACTTACACATGGAAAGTGCCTGTGCTCTTTTCTCGACCGCTGTACCTCTTCGATACTCTGTTGAGAAGCAGCCAGGCACATCGTGACTGGCAATCTGAAGCGCGAATGCAGCTGCAAAGAAGACTCTCGGTCAAAAGCACATCCGTCTTCACTGCGGATGTTCGAAACGGACCAAGTACGCCGAGACCTCAAACTCCCAAAATATCAAAGGCTGCTCCAGGTGATCCATAAAAACGCAAGTAGGTTCAAACACAGCCAGATTGGCTTGAACTTGTTTCTCCCGAAGCTTGGCCCAGGTGTGAGCCCGCCAGCCCTTGCACCCCACCCAAGAAACAAACGACCAAGGAACATAAGAGTGCCAACCAACGGTACGCCACCGGCACCACTTGGGAGAAGGGCTGCTGAACAAATGAGTCTCGGTCGACCCTTGCTCAGGTCCCCACGTGCTCCCTGGCGGTGTGGAGCCCAAAATAGAGGACCCTCCCCCTTTATGGCTAGTTCAAACGGAATCCGCAAGGAAAACCGACCATTTTTAGGGGTCCCGGTTCTTTGAGAAACAAAACGTGGGGCCATTCAGTTGGACGACCCAAGACCTGCAAGTCACTAGGTGAAGAACGTGCTGCCAGTCGGCACAGTCAACCAAGACTTGGCCAGAATTTCAAGTCATCCCGAGTTGGTGCCAACTCCTCAAAAACATGACAACATACAAATCAGATAATAAGACGATGGTTTCCCATTGGTGTTCTATCAAACCCGTGAGAAAAGCAAAGGTCCTCGAAGCCAAGCCACTGCCAACTCAGAGCCGCCTCGAACATCTTCATTCAAGAAACTCCGTCCGGGACCCAGGTGCAAAACTTACACAAGCAGAGGCCTGCAAGAGTCGACCCACGCTTTTCTCACGACTTTGATGGGACACTGTATGGGACCAATAGGAACAATAGGAAACCATGTTTCTTGGTTCTTTTGGTACACAAATCTAGCTCCATGGAGTACCAATAGTAAACCATCCTCTGATTTGTACGTGGCCCTGTCATTTTTGAGGAGTCACCTCTCTGAGCCAAGTTGTGCATATCCGATCTTCGGGTCAATGTGGCTGTTGCACTTCTGGTTTACAGACCTGGTAGCTTCTGGATGCCCCCCGCTGCAGACCACGGACAACGCATACAACGCACGCTGCAACAAATTTCTCAGGTGCCAATTGGCTGGATCTAACATTGCATGTCCAGAAGCAAAACGCATTGCGTCTTCAATGCACTTTCATCCCAAAGCAAACTACGTTGGTGCCGTCATATAGCACCAAGCTTGTTCCCGCGATCATCGCAGCAAAAAGGTAAAACTAACGCAAGGATCGAGGCAGGAAGTTGCAGACCCCAGCATTGCTAGTGTGGGCCAGGACTACTGAAATGTCTTTCTGTGATCCGTCAATGAAAATGCGCAGCTCCATGGCTGGTTTTGAGTGATGGCTTACCCTCCAGTGATCCAATTCTGGCATCAGAAGGCCAGTCGTCCTTTGTCCTTTGTGTGCTCTTGCGTCGCACTCACCGTCCTTCGTTTTCGTGGCTACAGAAGTTTTTCGCCGTATCCAAAGTGGGATGTGCAGCTGTTGCGTCGGGCGAAATTGAATTCCCAGATTGGCGAAGTAGCTTGGCTTGGCGTTATATCTTACAGTTGGTACAGTCATGTCACATATCGCTCTTATTGTGGCTCCGGTAGGTCGGTAACAAGACAACCTCAATGCCAAGACCTCTAAAGCGGCGTGGTACTGCGGAGAAAGAGAATCACATGAATTGCATGAAACGCTCCAAAACCCAAAGAATTGGAAGCGAGGCGTTCCTGGTCGAAAGCGTCCCTGCCGCACCTCGTGGGGAAATCCAAGCCGCCCATGGGAAGGCCAGGATCTAAGTACTCAACACGCGCCTAGACTTGGCGCGCCTTTTTTGTTGGCCTGACAAAACCCAAAAGGAATAAAATTGGAGGGGGTTAGGGTGAGGGGGTGGTGGGAATCTTTCCGCGGCCCAAAGCTTAGCGAGTCTCAGTCGGTTGTTTGGGGTCCAATGAAGGCAAGGATAGTCCATTCTATGCGTTCATGAATATTCATGCGATTTTTGCCATACTTGTCATTTACGTCACGTCCCTAAGTGTGAGCATGTAGAGCGTGGCAATTGCATTCTAGAATAAATTTGGCAACTTACTGTGGGTCAAACTCACAAAAACGGAATTGTAACGCAGGACTCAGAGATAAACCCACCTTTCAGAGAGCCGCAGGCGACATCAGCGTCAGAAAAGTGGGCCCGAAAAAATCGTCGCACTTCGCACCAAAGGGTCCCAAAGCCCAATTCCAATATAGCTAATACCGCTTAAATGGAGCCTGTGAAAAGGGCCTGACAGCGCGTGGGCCACTAACATGAACAGCCTGTTCTCAAATACCTCTAAAAAGCTGGACACGGTCATGGACGTTCCTAAATCCCCAAACGAGACAATCAGCCCAACGCACCACGCCTGCAAACCAAAACCATCATGACCGTTGCCACTCCTCAGGACTTTTGCCCAACTTCAACACCCAGCTGCCTTGCTTCAAACACACATG